TTCGTTCAAAGCACACACATAGAAAAATGTGATGGTCAGTCGAAAATGTAAATAAGCATTTGAGGAGCAGTAAATAACACAACTACGTAATATTTCACCGAAGTCGAGCGCTCCAAATAAGCAATTTTTCATGTTTTCGTTGATTTTTTTTTTTACTTAGACCGCATTTTAAATACTAGCAGGTATTTTGCGGCTTGGCTGAGACAATTGTTTTTTTTTTCCTGTAATTTAAAGCAGTTTTTAACACTTTACCCCTGAAACCACGTTTCAGCCGACATTGTGCATAAATCTTTGAAATGAGTTGAACGTCGATCGATAGGTTTAAAACCATACTTTTTCGTCATTTCCCTTTCGGCTAATCCACCGATATGGGTGGAAAATTGAGTTCAAGGCTATTTAGCCAGTAGTTTAATTTCTAGCAATTTCTCTTATCTGCCGGAAAAATGTGTAAACATCGGACAATACAGTTTTCATTGGAATGTGTTAGACGAGTTCCCTTTCGTCGGCTGTCGAAGCGGCGCGCAGTGTATCAAATTACAAGTGTCCAGTGAATAAAACAAAAGGCAAAGCACTAAGAAACCTTTTTTAACAACACTACAATTACAAAAAAAAAGGGTTCTGCCCAAGCCACAGCTTAGAAGTCACTGCTGGCTGATACCCTGTAATTTCAATGTTTGTATAAAAATTACATTTAAAACTTAGCCAATCTCGAACTATACTAAAGAGTTTTTATATACTGCTTCATAATTCAAAAAGGCAGTTTCAATTATTGTACGCAGGGTAACTCTTAGTCGAGCCCTGCCCACTGCACTTCTGCTTGGCTACTTGGCGGGAGATTGTAAACTTCGGAAACCATGTTTTTGCTGTGGTATCCGTGGCCAAAAGCGGCAAAGCCAAATCCTCGATGCAAATTTCATTTTGAACATAAACTTATAATCATAAACAAACCAGAAACGCCTAAAAAACATTCACACTAGTCGAGAGGGTCATGTGCAATCCTTGTACGCCCCAACCCAAGGATCCCAGCACAGTTGCTCTTCCGCTGCAACGAGTACGCCGGACGCCCAGCGCAAGATAAACTGTACGTCTTGGAGCGCACATGATCCCCTCCAGGCCTCAACTCCACTTTGCACTTCAAATTGCTGGGGGAATGCGCGCCAAAGTGTCTGCATAAATGTGTGTGAATATGTGTGCGAGTGTGTGCGTCTGTGTGTGCATACATGTGTGTGTATGTGCTTTGACTGCTGACATTTTTGCATGTTTGTCTCGCAAATTATGCGTCGCGCACAAACAAAAGCGGAAACGGAGCTGCCGGCTGCACTGGAACACTTTTTGGTGCTGATGACGGCTCTGGGTTTGAATTGAGGTTGTGTGCCGTTTGCGGCTGGGCTATGCGGACCTCATTTTTTACACGGCCGTACTTTGGCGCGTATTCCCATTCTGCTCATTTTGCGTTTCGCTGCGAGCCGGAAATAGTAATTGCAACATGGCGCTGGCTCCCCAGCGCAATAGTTGCAACTGGAAAGAATGCATTTGAAAAGCTCAACGGCCGCGAAAAAAAATGTCATTTGAGCCAACCCCTCGTTCCGCCCGTTAACAAAGTGTTAGCAAACACAAATCTCACACCGAGTTACTAATTTTGCATAGTGTGTTTGCTCTTTTTTCAGCAGGAGCTAACCCCTTGCGTTTTAATGATCAGCGCGAGGGGTCGCTTTTAACAAATCCCAACCAAGAAGCAGGCAGCATGTGACCTTTTTTTTACGCTCACTTAATGATAAAATGATAAATCGGAATTTTGACAATAAACCGAGTACTTAAACAAATCACTTGCCCATAAAAACAATCATATCTAACCTTATTTGCCTGCTAATATGGAATTGTCTCTTTTCAATATTGAAAATATGCGTCAACCCAAGGATTTAACTCATGGAGCTCATTCGTAAATCCACCAAATGTACATTGCTTTGCTGTCAAGCAGTTGTATTTCCCCAATAACATAGGCTAGTTCTTCAGTTCTCCAGGCCGCCCAGCCAAACATCCATCCATTAAGTGCTTCCGTTCCGCGCATGTTTCCATATAGTTAAACCATGCCCATTTATTTCAGCCGATAAGTCTGAAGAGTTGTCATCGTCATGCATAAAAGTATTCGTCAACCGTTTGCCTTTTGGACTCTTACTCGTATACGCTGCTTTGGGCTTCCTTTACTCATTCTCTTATCCTTACGTCGACCCAAATTTGCCTTAAAATAGCTTAATGTATTTGTATACCCTGTGCCTATTGATGGGCAAAAAAGTGCTTTGTGGTCTTATGCAAATGTTTGTAACAGGCAGCTTGTTCTTAATCAGGATTTGTGTGCCTTTCCATGTTTCCATTTGTATGAACGCGCCAATCTCAGAGACAATAAGACCTAGACCTAGTATACACAGATCTCAAACAATTAACTTTTTGGATTCACCCATATTCCCGTTCTGTTACCCCAAAATTTAAAGTCTAGCGCTTGGAAAATACACAGCTGGATTCCCTGTCAAAGCCCGGAACATTCCATAAGAATCGGATTATAAGCACCGACCTTCCAGAATTCAAAATGAATTTCCCTGAAAGAAGAAGCACAATCGCAGCATAAACCTGTGTAGGGGATTATGTGTATGTATGTGTATGGGAAAAAGCTGAAATGTTTGTAAGCGAAGCTTGGCACTGGTTACAGGGCATCACCTAGGCGGGCATTCGCGACTTGAAGTTAACTTGTTATTCTACGTATTTAACTAAACAAATAAATTACTGAAGGCATGTTTTTCTCAGTGTTTTTTTGTCGGCTTGTTCACAAATTGTCTTTCGGTACATATTGTTCTATTTGTAAGTGTTAGTTTGTATCTGAGTGATTTGTCAGTAGGCAGCCATAAAAATAATTACCAGATTTTTACTATTGTTTTCAAACGAACTGCCTAGGCAAGTATTTATACTTTCGACCATATATATGTACATAATATGATTAATTTATGTATGTAGGATCCACTCTTTCTGCCAGGTATAAACTTTACTGTGAACTTCGATTTATTGCTTTGCTTATTTATGAAAATGTGTCAGGGTTTCAAGGATTGGAACCCCCTAAATATGATTCTATGATTGTCTATATGGGATAGAATGTGATGTTTCATTTGAATGGGTATAACTTATATTTATATAAAGGGAATATAAGTTGGAACGCAAATAGAAATGTGCTTTAATCTCCGGCAATGGCATGCAGAAGAAATAATATTTTATATTTGAAAGCCAGAGTAGGCGTGACCGGATGACTTATGACAGAATCTTGGGCGGAGGTCCTCGCTAGATAAAGCCAATGTACTAAAAAGCACATCAAATTGACAATTGGCGCTCCAAAAGTGCAATAAAAATCAAGCTCTATCCCAAATTTGTCATATCCTTTATGTTTCCTGCAAATTTACTGCACTTCCGTGTTGTGTGACTCAATCAACATTTCCATCGCCAATGCTTAAATCAGAAAACGAAAGCCTGCAGAAATTACGCAAGTCGAATATTTTTAGAAATGGCTGCAATCAGCGCTACACTTATTCGGCCCAAAATCTGCAATACTGTACATACATACATGTACATACATTAACTATATATGTATGCTAAAATTCTGTTAAGCTATACATTGGACAATATTATCTTATCTTTATCTTCCTCTTCAAGGTTGGTTTCATACAGAAGGATGGACTAACGGACGGGAGTTGCACCAGCCCAATGCTTAATACTTAATTATAATAATAATAACAATAATAATAATAATAATAATAATAATAATAATAATAATAATAATAATAATAATAATAATAATAATAATAATAATAATAATAATAATAATAATAATAATAATAATAATAATAATAATAATAATAATAATAATAATAATAATAATAATAATAATAATAATAATAATAAAAATAATAATAATAATATCAATAATAAGAATTATAATAATAATAATAATATTAATAATAATAATAATATTAATAATAATAATAATAATAATAAACAAAATATTATTATTAATAATAATTTATTGAGAGTCGCTCGACTTTTCTGATTATTAGAGTTTTTGCCAACTTATAAGTTCTCAACTTTGTGATTGATATTAGTATATAGATTTGTTTCCCCCAACAGATGTCTAATAAAACAATATTTTCCCAAACTTCATCTTAGAGATCTTGAATACGAATTGTGGTTAAATTCAGATTTTGAATCGACACAAGCAAATTGGCTTAACGAATCTGCGAGGGTACACTATCTTCGGTATATCCACAATAATTAACTTATGCAAACAGAGATATTCAAATGTGTGTGTGCATAGCAAAACTTTGTACACAAGTAAAATAAGTAAGTAGTATGCACACTTGCCTCTATTTTTAAGAGGTCTATCACATTTTTCCTTGAACTAAGCCCGGGCTATGGCTACGTTCCATTGTATATCGTTTGAAGGCCTAAATAATATCAAATCAAAAGACCAGCGAACAGCACAGCTCTCAGCACTCTATGCAACTGGCTTCTACTTTTGATTGTTGAGGCTGTGTACTCGCTGCGTCTTTGGCATTTTTTTATTTTTATTTATTTTTTTTTTTTTTTCTTGTTATTCAATTGAATTTATGACATGGGTAGATAATGCACAGATTTTCGAATACATTACGTACTTATTAACACTTTTCTATTCGCCTATAATGACAACTATCTAGCAAGTGTCAAGCTAAACAGAATTGAGGTTTATTCAATTTTAATTGTTGCGCATTGAAAATGTTTGCCAATCGACTTTGCCGTATAAGGCCCCATAAAGCAATAGACCCAATAAACGTCGACATATGTATGCAAGTAAACAGAGTTAGGTTAGGTAACCTAACCTAAGTAAACAAACACACAATTGCATTTTCTTTTTTCTGTTTAATTGCTTAATTTAATTTGCATGAGCAAAATTAAAAAAAAATAAAATAAAACCAACAAAAACTTACCTCAGTTCTTTTGTTCAGGCGTAGCAATGTGTTTCGCAAGTACTATGTATGTATAAACAACACACACACATGGGCACATGTACATATGTATGTATATGTTTCCAATTTTTTTTTTTTTTTTTTTTTTGTTGTTTTTTAACACTTCACTGGCTATTTTCGTGTTTCAGAACACGGCTGGCAAACTTTTAGAATGGTTAATCAATGGCCGATTGCCCCGTTGATTTCAAAATAGTTTTGTTTTTTTGTTGTTTTGTTGTTGTTGTTGTTGTTTTATTAATTATTATGGCTCTTTTGTGCACCTCAGCATAACAGAACGGCACGAATGCGTCATTTATATTTCCACAGCGATTTTGAACGCACTTGTTTATGTTTGGCGGCTGCTGTTGCTGCTGCTGCGACGGGCATAAATATTCGCAAAAAAACTCGAAACAACTTTACAATAAACGACTGCAGCTTTGCTGCCAAAAAGCTGCCCAGAACTTTTCTGCCCAGCTGGTTTGAACTCCGTTAGACGACTGAAGCGCCAAGCGCCAAATCACAATTTTATAAGCGCCCTGTGTAGCCGAAGCTCAGCTTCGTGTCTATTGCTATGCGCATGTGCTGAATTTCAGACAGAAATATAAACACAAAGCAGCTGGTTCTCGTTCTACTGAGCTTGCGGTCGCTCAGCTGTTTTTGGCAAAAGCCGGCAACAACAATAGCCGAGACTGAGACCTGGAGTCTCGGTAAGGCAATGGCTGGTTGGGCGGACCAGTTGGCTGACTGAGCGATGCAAATATTGAAGTTCAACAGCAATGGCAGATCTCGGTTTATGGATACTTAATTCTTTTTGCAGAATCAATGCGCTAAATAGCAAAACCAATTGCCACACACGAGCATTCCCAGCATGACTATACTCCGTTCTTAAAGTTATGTGTAAGCCTGCCAATTGGCATTTTTACAGATTCTTTACATGAGGCAAACCCACCTCTCTAATGAGGTTTTATTAACATTAACAGATCTAGGCAATTAACAGTGCCCAAAAGAGAGCGAATCTGCATGAATATCGTTATGCTAAGCTTAACATAATCTGTTAATGAACCTTTGACAAATTTTATGATATGAAGGGGTAATAAGCGTTTTACATTTATAGTTCATACATTTTGTATAAACATAATACTTTTTTTTTTTGTTTATCAAATAACAAACAGACAAAAAGCTGCATTAAAAGTTTTGCTAGTTTTTCGGATATCTAAGATAAAAATGGCAGAAATTACTGGCACACTGTAAACACATGTATTGATGTATATGGTTATATATGCACATACATATATATTTATATACGCATATATTGCATTCTTTATTCTTAATTGGTTTTTTATGCTAGCCATAAGAAATCGCTATTATATATTTAAAATTTATAATAATTATTGAAATTAGATATTTTTCATGAATTTTCTCTGAGTTTCTTTTTTGTGTTCATATATATATGGGAATGCATGTATCCATATATGTATGCACATACAGATATTCCGTCTGTCTGAGCTGGCAAGTTTCTATACAAACAATTTTCGCAACAACAACAGCTTTCTGCGCAGTATCTAAACCGATCAAATAAAAAAAAAAGGTAAAAAACTCGCCAAACTCGATTTAATTAGACGTTATATATTCGCAAGTCCTGAACTTAAAGCGAAGTATCTGTCTATATATTTACAATAAAAATGTTTTGTTTTGAGTTTATTGAACCGCTATAAAAATATATTTTTTTGCAATTTTTGGTAACGCAAAAATGATGATTTGAAAACTGAGTTGAAAATACGTTTAATTGATATGTATACAAATGTTAATTAACATTCAAATTTGTAGAGATATTTAATTGTTTATATCTAAAGCTTGTCTTAATTCTTGTAAGAATAAATCTCTACATATGTATAAAATTCACATATTAAGTTAATTTTTTAATGCCCCTGTAATTAGTTAACAACATACAGCCTAAACATTTTATTGCCGTTATCTATAAACTTCATAATAAAAAATCGGACAATAAACAGCGAAATTAGTATGAAATGTTTTGATTAGCATGGGATCAGCTTTAAATACATTGTCAAAGGTTTTTGTAAGCATTATAGGTTCATAAATTTAGAGTCCCCTATTAAGTTTATCAGCAAATATTAAACGCTATCAAATTCCGTTGCACAGTGTAAAATATATGTAAAGGACGGTTGGTGCATGTTTTCAAATTGTTAAAAAATAACGGCTCACTCATATCTATACATACAAATTCTAAAGCAAAGAGTGATATCGCATTACAGGCTTTGTCCGTAAGCAGAATCGTGGAGAGCGTTGCCAGCCTGCTAGCTTGAAAGGCTGCCAGACTGTACAGATCTTAATACATAAACCATATGCATGCATATGTATGTGCATAGGCGCATGTGTGTGTTCGTATGTAATATATTTATGTGTGTGTAATTTACAGTTAAGCTTGTCCCTCGCATTTCCCTTTTGTGAACGTATTTTTATTGAACTCTTGTAATATTATTTTAAAAGTAAAGTATAATGGATCGCTATAACCGTGCCTGGAGAGGTAAATCAAAATAATTTATAGCTGTGAACATTAATTCAGATAAAAAAAAAACTTGCACGCAGATCCTAGGTCCCCACTGACGCCCCTAACGCCACTTACAACGCGCGTGTTTAATTTCGATGTGACACCGTCGCCACCAAGGCCCAACTTGAGGAGGCCAAAAACCGAAATGAAGTTTCGAAGGCCCAAGCTTAGCCATCTTACCGTGCCGCATCAGACAGCGGAAACAAGGCGAGGTTCAACTGGGGATTGGGGCCCGAGACACTTCTCGCAGGATTTTATGCGTATTCGATCGGTTTTTTCGCCAACGGCTCAAAGCACGGCGTCTCAAACTGTGACAACCACGCCGAAGCCCCATGCCCAATCCACTCAACAAACTGGCGGAACAGCTGCAGTAACCCATTCAAAACGCCAGTTCAAGTGCAGCTCTCCCGTGGATCAGCCTACACTCAGTCCCCGTGTCAGTTCCCTGCTCAGTCGCACTGGAAATGAGCACTTGACCGAATTGTTTACACGTCAAGAAATTGATCTGCAAGTACTTATACAGATGACATTGGAAGATCTGGAGTCTCTTGGCGTTCGGGGCGTCAAGGAATTGAAATTAGCTATCGATGTTATCAAATTTGCCAAAAAGTTCTTTTAATTGTGTTCTCATGTTCCTAACTGTAACCCACGTTCATTATTGTACCCAATTTTATATGTGTCCAATTTATTAATAAGAAATAATTGTTTTACTGAATATATGTCGATCATTTGTGAAACTGATTTTAATTTTGTTATGCATTATCATTCTTTCTAATCATGACTTGGTTTAATCTTGTGGAAACGGGGACAGATATCTAAAAGTGAAATATTCTGGATATGTGTTTATATGAAAACTCGTACGACGGAGGCACTAGGAGGTTTGACAGACAAATAAATGTATATACTTTATGGCTTCGGGCTCGGGTTTTAGAAATAATTGATCTACTCCCCAGCACAAAAAACGGATGGATACTTTTGTGCCTGAAATGTGTTGAAATAAATCGAATACTGTTTGCAGTTTTTCTTATAAATACAAAAAAAAATACTATTTATATTGTTGTTTATAACATATAAGCAATGCCGCGGTCTAAAGTCCGAATTGTCGGCGACTTTGTTTTTGTATATAAAAGTTCAAATGCTTGTTACAGCAGCTGAAGCAAGGTACAGGGTATCTCTAAGGCGGATACACTCTGATTGCAACAAGAACATACATACTAAAGAACTCAAGAGCCCTTGATACGCTTGAGTAAACGGATGTAAGGCATAACTGTAAACTTAACAGTCATTAGTATCTGGCCGACTTTTGTGCTCATAATCTATATATATAAAAGACTTTGTACTGACTGACTAACCTAACCTTAAAAGCAATGACTGCAAATTGTTTACTGTTATTTTCCATTTGAGTCAGAATAAACAGTAAATCTGGACTTCGCTTATAACTCACTGCTATATCTGTGCTCTGCAAACGAGTCGTCGGACTAATAAGCGAGCAGTCGCCGTCTCAAATTCATCAGCAACTGTCAATTATTCTATTTGTTTATTTAATTTATTATTGACATTAATAAAGAAATATATATATACATATATATATATATATATATATATATATATATATATATATATATATATAAATCGAAAATAGATGTGTTAAAAATAATAATTATAAATTATTTTGTTTTGTCAACTAGAATGCTGTCATATGTATTTTTGACAGATTCGAATCTGTCGATTGAGCATCTAAGTTGCATTTTAAGCAAAATTCTTTGGGCCCCAGTTAAGTTCTTCTATATAGAACAACGAAAGGGGGCCGTGGTGGTTGGGCAGGAGAATACGGGGTTGCATAGATGCATGGACTGAAGTTTTCCAACCTAACTAAAACGCGCGCGTAAAATGTTGCGTTGGGAAATGCTAGTATAATATGTATTTAGAATATTTGCGGTCATACCGGCTTTATCCGATGTCTTCAAGCAGAGCTCATGAAGCGTGTATTTGTTGAATTTAGTTAGCATCTTAAATGGGCAAAATGGGTTTTTGAAACAAAACACTTATTTGACCAGCAATTACTATCGCAAGCAACTCGCAGCAACTGCGGCTTTTAGCCTTAGACTTATTGTTGTATTTCGACTTAACATTTCATGGTATTTTTAGTATTTTTTACATATATTCTAGTCTGTCTGTTGGCAGTATTTGTTTGAATTTTTGATTATATTGCTTTTCAATATATATTTTCAATATAAAGTAATCATTAGATTATTTCGTTTACATTCGCTTTCAATTGCCACACCAGTTAAAACGATATTTTTCCAAATTAATTTGTCAAATTGGAAATCAATTGTATTTCAGTGTTATGAAACCGATTTTTTGAACATTTGTTTTCAGGGGGTAAGAATAATGCTAGATTTAAGAAAGTAATAATAAAACAAAACATACACTATTATTAAGACAAAGTCTATAATATAAATTCTAGAAAATCATCTGCGCCGTATAAACTGGGTTATGTAATTTCGATAGTCCGATTATTAACTGTTTATTATCCGACCACCACAATTTAGTGTTGATAAATTTATTATAAACTCAGTCATGAGCGATCCAACACTAGTACATACATAGCTTATTTTTAACATTTTTCGACGTGAGATGTGCATTTTCTATCATAGTTTGTGCTTAACCATGTAAAATTAAATTAGACATTAGTGTAGCATTATTAACAGTTAGTGCAAAGGTAACTAAATTGCGCTTATGGATTATGCTAATAACAGCGAACATGTATACCAACACCTTCTATTGGCAAATGACAGCTGCTGCGCCTTTTGCAATTTTCTGTTGGTAGAGGTATAAAATTCTTGGATTGCGGAAAATATATTAGTATATTGCAAAAATCCAAATTGCACATATATACATATATATATAAATATATATGGATGAACATGTACATAAATTCACATGAAATATATCCAATTGATTAGCATATATATGTACATATTTGCACATATGTACATGTACATTTATATGGCAACATCATTGCGTATGGCCGTATCAAAAAGCACAGGCTGCTAATTTGACATTTCGTTTTGTGTTGAACACCGTCTACTGTTGCAGAACTTAAAGGCGAAAATTGAAAAGAAAACTGAATTTATTGAGCGAAAACAAAAGAAATTGTAAATTGCATTTCGAATAATAACGAAAAGATGTGTATGTAGACAAGAAGAAAATAAAATACGCGTCCGGCTAAGGCTGTGAAAGCTGCTCAGAGCTGTGCCTTTCATAAATGCATAAAACGATATTAATAAAATAGAAAATAATAAATAAGAGCAAAAATTTAAAAACCATCGGCCCCAATAGACCGCACGCATGTATGCGTTTAATTTAACAGAAAGCAATCTGTGTGTGACTTTAGTGTAAATAATCCGAAACAACAACAGCAACAAACTGTCGGCTCTTATAAATAAAACAGTGAAAAACAAACAGAATATTCAAGAGAAAATACGCGAGCACTCTTTAAAAACAAATTTATATCGTTATAGTTATGATTTCAAGTACATCATTTATATATAGTTCTCAAATTTGGTGCAAAATTGTCTTTAATGCATAAATATAATATGTACGTGCGTATATCGTATACAGACTAAATACTTGTCTCTATGCAAATACATAATCATTGTAAAGAATATTGCACTTTCAGCTAAATAAAGGTTGTGCCTAAAAGGCACATTAGGCAAAAACTAAACAGATCGAAAGTCATGATTCAATAGGTACAGCTGCCCCCTTGACAATTTGACAAAGAATACCCCGCTCTGTCTGTTCCTTTATGCCTAAAAAAGCTTAATATATCTCATCTCATAAAAAAAAAAAAAAGAATGCATTTTGCCGAAATCAAGTGATTGCCGAGCCACGCGCTTGACACTTAAGTTAAATTGATGCTTGCAGCCATGCTGCAAAATATAAATTAAATATTCGTGTCTTACTTTATTCATTTCGCATTTGCGTTTTGCCCACTTTCTGACGAATTTGTATCTTTGCAGTTAACAGAAACTGTTGTACAAGTGTAAATTGTTAGCTTAAGGAAGTACCCATATATACACATATATACTGGGAATATTTATAAATTAGACGAGAACCCAAGGCACAGCTATATACAAAAGCAGCAGGACGACTAGCAGCTCGCCACGTTCATCGCAACTTAAATCGAACGCGTTGAGAAGCCGACTGAAGGCTGCCTTCAATGGCCGCCGAAAAGGAGATGCAGGCGCACGACATGGTGCGACGACGGAGCTGGGCACGTGCTGTGACGCTCTACGATCAAATACTCGCGGCGAGTGCAACGCCACAGCCGCAAGCACAGGTGCAGCCAAATGGGACAACGCGAGCGCAAAAGGATCAGCAAATCGCTTGCCTGCTGGGTCGCTGCGAGTGTCTCCTGGAGCTGGGCAGATACGAGGGCTGCCTGGCGGATGCATACAAAGTGCTGACACTGCTTGCGGAGCAGACTGAATGCTTGGCCAGCGTGTCTCGAGCGCGTCGTTGGCTGGTGCACGCGCTTTTCAAGCTTCACAAGTACTCGGTGAGTACAAATTTGCCCTTAATTAATTACATATTGTATATATATGTGTTTAAATGCAGGATGCGGAACATTTTCTGAGCAAGTGGATAAACGAGCTGAGCGGCCAGCAAATTTTCTCGGACATATCGAAGACGCTCGAGCGATACAAGTCCATAATACAAATGATAATGAATGGACACAATAAGGTGCAAACGCAATCGCAAAAAATTCCGCATGCACGCCTCGAGGATGAGATGACAATACTGGATACCAAGCTTGATCATTGGGCCACCAACAATCTGCCCCTGGACAAGTACAGCAAGCTGCTCAGCAACAAAGGGCTTAAGAAACGCGAGCAACAACAACAGCAGCAGCAGCAGCAACAACAACAGCAGCAGCAGCAACAGCAACAGCAGCAGAATAGTAGTGGCAGCTTCAGTAGCAGCAGCAGCAGCACTGGCAGCAGCAGCACTATGTCCAGCTCCAGCATGAGTGCCAAGAACATAGAGCTGCTGTCGGCCATTAAGCTGACTGGCGTGAAGCATTCACCAGTAGAACTTGTGCCGGATGCAGATCAAGCAGCACACTCAACATCAACAATAACGTGCAGTTATTGTGCCATCAACTTCCAAACGCGAAACGAGTTGAGGCAACATTGCCAGACTGAAAGCCACCAGAAAGTGATAATGAGCGATGAGGGTAAGTATTGCTTAGTGTGCAGTTTGCTGTTTATCGATTAAAACAATATATTTAATAGGTCGCGATTGGAAGTGGCGTCCTCCACCTCGGGGCTATACACTGGACACGTACAGTCTCTGCGAGGCGTTCGCGCGGACATGTCACTACGGAGCACAGTGTGTGGAGGCGCACGGCTTGGACGAGCTAAATGAGTGGAAGGAGCGCTTCGAGTATCGGCGAATGCGTGTGCAAAAGGCTTGTGAAAAGGAATTGTACGGAAAGTCATACACGGAACAGGTGCTCGAGCGTTGGATTCAGGCCACGGCCCCGGAGCGCGTCATGTGTGAACGAGTGCCGGACGTGGAAGCTAAGTGTGAGCAGCAATTGGTTACCAGCATTAGCTCCAAGACTTCGAAGCGCGAGTGGCTCTTCCAGGTGGAATCATTGCGGCCTCTCAAAGCGGTTGCCCTGCTACAGGATGCACATCGCAATCATTTTGCGATAAAATCCATCAAGCTGGCCAATTCTAAATCTGAGGCAGAGGCCAATGTTGAACTAAAGTCTGATCAGGAATGGGTGGCTTCTGCATTGCCTGAAGCGCAGGAATCTAACGCTACCCCAGCTAAGATCGCACACGAAATAACAGTTGAATTTCACACAGAAATTTACGGCACGTTCCGGCAATCCATCTGTTTCGACGTTGGCCAAGAGCCGCTGCTAGTGCGTCACCTTTGCGTTGATGTGCTGCCCGTCAGCGATGCCGAAAAGATCGAGGAAATCAAACGCGACATTATTAACAGCTCGGCCACACGATGGGACGTCAGCAACACACAGTTAACGCGCTTTGAGACCACAATAGGCACGCACCTGAAGACGGAAGCCTATCTCAGCGACTTGCAGCACGAACGCGAGCTATTAGAACGATATCCGTGTCCGCGTGCTGCCACCTTTACGTTAACACAGTCCACAATTGTGGAGAAACGACTGACGCAAAACAACTACCGTTCGCGCACACACGAGCTGCTTTACGTTGAAGAGATTGCCCGCTACGAGCAAATCGCACGGTATAACGTGCGTACCCGGCTAACAGTTGCCTCCAATTATATATTGACACCGGCGGGCATGGCTACCAGTACGGCCAAGTACTCGTTGGCGGGCGAGCTGTTCGCACTGATGCGTCTGGGCAAGGACATTTCAGAGGATACGTCGCCGGGTCGGCTAATTCTGTCGAATTGCAGCAGCGTGTATATCTCAGCGCCCGAGGAAACCACAACTAAAACAGATAAATCGGACAAATCAGATAAATCCGAGCGCGCTGTGTATGAGGCGCTTATCGAGGACAAGGGCAAAAATGTCATATATCTGAAGCTGTCGTCCAAATGCGTGGAAGCAATGGGCCTGCAAGCAGACACAGAGCTGGACGTGGACATACAGTTCCAGCTGAATCGCATGCCCTACTGCGAGTGGCACAATGCTGTGGACAAGATAACCGACTTCCGCTTGATATTTCCCGCGACCGAGCTGGAGCCGGCTATACCCTGGACACCCAAAAAGCAATGGGCTGATGCTTGCGAGCCCAAGCTAAATGCGAAGCAGCGCGAGGCTGTCAACGCCATCACAACGGCTTTAAGTATTAAGCTGCCACCCATCCTGCTGATCGGACCGTTTGGCACGGGCAAAACATACACGCTGGCGCAGGCAATTAAACAGCTGCTGGCACAGCCAGAAGCCAAGATACTCATCTGCACGCATTCCAATTCGGCGGCAGACCTCTATATTAAGGAGTACCTGCATCCGTGGATCGAAGAGGGTCTCGAGGAAGCGACGCCGCTTCGTGTTTACTATCACAAACGTTGGTCTGCAACGGTCAACAGTGTGGTTCAAAAATATTGCATCACGGACGGCGTCGGCAACTTCCGACGTCCCAGCGTTGAGGATATCATGCGGCATCGCATTATAGTCGTTACACTGAGCATTAGCATGGAGCTGGCCACGCTCGGACTGCCCAAGGGTCTGTTCACTCACATATTTTTGGACGAAGCAGCGCAGGCGATGGAGTGCGAGGCGATTATGCCACTGGCTCTGGCCAACGATTCCACGCGCATTGTGCTGGCCGGTGACCATATGCAGATGAGTCCCGAGCTCTTCTCCGCCTTTGCAAAGGAGCGCAAATTGCACATCTCGCTACTGGAACGACTATACGACCACTATCCATCAAATTTTCCGTGTAAAATTTTGCTGTGTGAAAACTATCGTGCCCATGAAGCCATCATACGCTTCACATCGGAGCTCTTCTATGAGCAGAAGCTTGTTGCTTCCGGCAAACAGCCGCGTCATGAACGCTTTTATCCGCTCACATTTTTCACGACGCGCGGTGAGGATGTACAGGACAAAAACTCGACGGCGTTCTACAACAATGCTGAGGTCTACGAGGTGGTCGAACGTGTCTCGGAGCTGCGAAAACGCTGGCCCAGTGCCTGGGGCAAGCTAAACGATACCAGCATCGGAATTATGACACCTTATGCTGATCAAGTGTTTCGTATTCGGTCCGAGCTGCGAAAACGACGCATGGGCGGCATCTCCGTGGAGCGCGTTCTCAATGTGCAGGGCAAGCAGTTTCGTGCTGTATTCCTGTCCACAGTGCGCACTAGACGCACATGCTTGCCTCAGGCGAGCGGCCCGGGTGCCGGAGGTGCTGCCGTCGCCACAGCCGATACAGATACCGATTATGGCTTTCTTAGCAACTCCAAGCTACTAAATACTGCGATTACGCGAGCCCAATCTTTGGTAGCTGTTGTTGGTGATCCGGTAGCTCTCTGTTCCATAGGACGTTGCCGCAAGGTCTGGGAGCGCTTCATCGAGATATGCGATGAGCACAAGTCGCTGTTTGGATTGACTTGGTCAAACTTGCGCTCCCAGTTGGATGGCGTCGAGATGAAGCGTGGCTATGTTCTAAATCCGCTAGCTCCCGAGTTTGTTCCTCGTGCCCTACAGCCGGAGGCATATTTACACGAGCAGGCAGCCCTGTACCTAAATGCTCCAGCGCACGTGCCACCCGGCAGTCAGCCACCTCACTATGCTGCCTCCGCAGGCATGGGTCCCGGACCGGCTGCGGCGCATCAGATGAATCAAATGGCTGCAGCAATGGCCAATCAGCAGCTCTCACATATGTATTCAACTCATATGGCGGCAATGATGGCAGCTGCGGTGGCCGCTGGCGGCAAGTCTTCCAACGGACCGTCGCCAGGACCAGGACCGGGACCTGCTGCTCATATACGTGGCCATATGGGAATGCGCGGCCCGCCACCTAACGGGCCGCCACCAGGACCGCCACATCTGCGACAGTCTCAGCCAGGCGGTGGAGGACCTCCGCCGCCACCTTATGGCCAATATACAGCTATGCAGCACTGGCGGCCACCCGTTGCCCCACAACAGCCACAGCAGCAACAGCAGAATCCCAATGCCAGTCTCTGGGGTCCGCCGCCGCAAACAAATCCCTGGAGCGTCTTACCGCCGAACAAGCAACCGCCACCTCAGCAGTCAAATGCGCCCGGCCGCGGTCCAGGACCTTTGCCCCCACCCGTAAGTATAAGTTTTAATTACGAAATAGAAAGGCCTTTGGCTTATCTTCAATTGAGTTGTAGTGCATTTGTATGTGCAAGCGCGAGAATCTGGTCTTAAATCTTAAGCACTATACGAATTATTTTCATTGGCAGACTCTTCGAGGAGGCAGCGTGCCACCGGCTGCAGGCAACGCGACGACTGCGGCACAATTACTGCGCAATCCAAGCGAATTGGGGTACCTAGCCAAGAAGACGCTTTACAACCACGGCCAGGCACCACCACCGCAACAGCCCCTGCCTCCACAACATCATTTATATGGCCAGCCACCGATGCCTCTTCAACGTGGCAGCAGCGTGCCCAACGGCCCGATGAGCCCAATGGAGAACGGGCCACCACCATATCTGCGTCACAATGGCGCTGGATCTGGTTATAGCAACTACGATAAGTCCGCGGGTCCGCCTCAGCAGCCCCCTCCTGCCCCCTATATGTATTCGGCCGGAAAACAGCCATCGCCCAGTGCCTTGCGCTTTCCGTCTGCACATGAGCTGCTGCCTCCCAATATGAGCATATACGAAATGGCATTCAACTCTAAGGAAGAGCAATACAAGTGGTACATTAAGCTGTTGGAGTCTGTGGGTCAAGAGGCAGCCAACAAATTTGGCGACATGCTCCGCCAGGTTATGGCCACACTACAGCAGCAGGGTCACCAGCAACAGCATCATCCGCAGGGACACAAGCCACAGCCACCAGCAGTGCAAGGACCACAGATGCTGTCCAATCCGCATGCTGTCATGGGGCCACAGCCGCAGCGGCCACAGTATCCGATAATGTACCCAACACAGGCGCAGACTCAGACCCAGCAGTCGGTTGATGCAACGCCGCCGCTAGACAACTTTAATCAGCAAATTGATCTTGTGTTCAATTCGATTATGAATGGGGCCAATGACATTGCACAGCCCATCTTACGTGACGTGCTTGGCATGGTGGGCGTAGCAACAGCGCCAGTGGGCACGGGTGGAATGCCGCTGTCCAATGGCATGATGAATGGCGGTGATTTACAACAGCAACATCAGCAGCAGCAACAACAGCAGCAGCAACAACAACAACAACAACAGCAGCAACAACAACAGCAACAACAACATCAGCAGCAACAACAACAACAGCAGCAGCAACAACAACAACAACAGAGTCGCCTCTTTACAATGATGCAGAACCAGCAGCCACAACAAACACCCTTGGCTATGCCCAAACATGGCCCCAACCCTGGACCCTTGCAGCCGCTAAATATGTATCCTAACCACATGACAGGTCCGGTACCGGGAACAGCTGTCCATCCGGCTACAAGCAGCAACAACGCTGGCGTTCCCAACTTCATGAACAATAGTAAGTTCGACCTGAATTCGTTTGGCTTGAAAACAAATATATCTTCACTTATTAACACAATGTGTCTATCTCGCTAGCCGGAAACCCCTTGCTTAACGACAAGTCGTACAACAACTTCAATAGCCACAACAATGCGGGACACAACAGCAATGGCCTTCACAATAGTGGCAGCTCAGTGCCGCTCTATCGTCGCCAGCCAATGACCGGCAACGGGGGCAACAACTACAACAATATGCCGGGGCTTTTTGCCGGCTTGGACACTGGCACCAATCTTATTGAGGCCTTGTTCCAAGCTAATAATGTGGTCGCCGAGCACTCGAGCAAGTCCGATCATGGACACGGCCTGCTCTACAACAACTACAACACACTTAAGAGCGGACATGATTTAGACTTGTTTGCAGCGGTGCCACCGCAGACTGCCCAGGCCTCTGCCGACACCGCCAATCATCAGCAGTCCTCAGCTACTACATATGCGGCTGTGCTCAGCCAAGGACCGCAGGCAGCCGCAGGACATCAGCAGCAGCAGCCCGCAATGAATTCAGCACGGCCCTTGCATGCATCGAAATCCTCCCAGCCACCCAATGACCTGGAAAAGGATCCCTTTGCGGCCATACGAGAACTGGGGCAAGCAACTTCAGGCTTTTACAATTACTTTCAGTGAGCAACTGGCGTCGTTGAGTGCGCCGGCAAACGCCACCGCCTGCTGCACGTGGCATCAACGTCTTAAATAAAGACTTTAGAGTCTTAACAGAAAACGAAAAAAAAAAAAAAACGAAAATAAAAGAAAAAAAAAAAACAAAAAAAAAAATGTAAAATTAGAAAAACTCAAAAACAGATAATGAATTGCTTGTTAATTTTAGCTCTCCCGTTTGCTTTTTTAATCGCAATTAATTTAAATATGTAGATTTAATTATTATTACAATTATTATATATTATATGCATATGTTTAGTAGTTACAAATGCCGCAGCAGGCCGTTCCGCCCCACGCACGCCCTTGGCGCTGTCATTTCGCATGTAGCAGGGTAGCTCTGAGCACCCAGCCCTTGAAACTAAATAAAAAAAAAATATCTTTAAAAATAAAAAAAAAAAACAAAAACAAAAAAAAATTAAAAAAAAGAAAGAAAATTAGCTAGTTCTTAAGGCAATTCAAGAAAGTTTGTATTTTATAATCATTCTATTAGTCGTAGATCATATGCTACGAGAATGTTCGGTTTGGCCTTAGTGCGCTTGAGTTATAAATACATACATTAATTGTACCTTGAGTTTTGTACAGCAGTTGACCATTCGAAAAACTAGAAACTGAAAATTTATCATGTACTCAAATACATTATTAATTACCTTTATTCAAATCTTTAATTTATTTACGTACTTGCAACGTACAAATATAATGCTTCATAATTGTACTTTAAATATATATATACCTATATATATATATATATATATATATATATATATATATATATATATATATTGGCTGTATGGGTCACCTAACGTATGTATTTATGTACATACGCATACATAAATGTCATTCACTTGTGTATGATTAATTTTTCTCTCGGCATAGGCAAATATTGCTTGACCTGATGCGCCACATCCGATGCTCTTCTTTGGGCATAGAAACTGGATAAGTATGCAAAACTCCTCTCAATTCATTTCGAGCAACTACTTTGACAAAATTAACCTCAGCATGTGCTTTGATTTTAATATAATAATTCTTCGTAACTGTTTCGGGTTCGATTTTTTGATAGTATGTATGTATTTGGCCAGCGACTTGTATGCATATGCATAGGCGCATGAATGTAATTATATATAAAATCTAATCATTTATATAATAAAAAAAATAAATAAAATAAACTAGGAAATATATATAAATATATATATTTAATATTAAATAACGGTAACAAAAGAAAATTCAAATTATAATTCTATGTATGTCAGTTTGTCTAAACACATTTTATTAAGCACAAATAACTTTGAATACTGATTTGAAACACGAAACGCATCCAAACTACACACAATTAAGAACTGTGTACAACAATTTATAAAAATACATACAGATAAAAAAAAAACTTTTAAAAATCCCTAAGGGACACCAAAAACAACTCTTTTTTTGCAAATCTAACCCAAATACCTGCACATTTTTGAGGGATATCATAATAATCTGTGCTCTTGAACGGCAAATAGCTGCGATATTTGGATGAAAACAGATTCGTCAACCTGGTAAACAGCAGACCTTAGTGAATGGAAAGTCGAAAGCTAATGATGTTAAAGGAGCTCTTTGAAAGTCTTGAACTGATGAGAAAGTGCCGATATCTCGCGGCACGCCTAAGATTTAATACCTTAGCAAACATTTGCCCTGCTGCGTTGCAGATATGTGAGAATAGCGAAGCTCGTAAATGCTAAGTGTGAGAAAAATAACTTGGAAAAGAAAATATTGCGCCAGTCAAAAATTGAGTAATAATTCATAGGATTTGGCACACAGATAAGTAGCACAGTTAAACTAGTAAAAGTCGAATTTGATCAACATACCTGGATAAACAAAATATATGTCCATAGAGTTACTTTCTCTCTTCCTATTTGATATGTTGGACCGATTCAGCCGATCCCGCCATATGCGTTGCCTGCAACAGAAAGACGCACCTATGAAATGAGATCTTTGCAGCCCGGCAGGGCACTCCAATTAATAATAAGAAAAAAAATAATCTGACAGCAGAAAGCCTATCTCGGATGTAGCATATATATATGGAAGTTCTTCCATTTGATTTGATGTACCCAATGTACGCAAATGACAATAAATAATTTATATATTTAACATGCATCTCGCAATTTAAAAATCAATGATACCGAAACGAGAAAATTCGCTCGACATAAATTTGTTCATTTATGTATCATTTCGAGATGTACGTTTGAACAAAAGGTTTTGGTAAGTTTTCTGGCCAGCTCAAAAACGCAAAATGCCAACACCAGTTTTCGTAGTAACAATATCGGATGTTTCATTATATATACAATAATTATCAAATTTAATTTAAACATTGTTTCATTCAAATTGTTTGACTTGAACTTTATTCTATATTTCTTAAATTGCAGTAAGTGTGAGGTATTGACACGTCTGACAGGAAAGAAGACACCGTGTAAAATGCCCTTGTTAATATATAGTTTACAAATATGATCTATATATCAAATATGATCTATTTTTGTAAAATATATAAGAATGGCATTTTTATCCGCAATGTGTTCAAACGTCTTTACGTGCAAATGCAAATGGATGGGCTTATGCTATTGTCAAACTATGTGACTTATCAAGCAGAACTCTTATCGAAATTACATCATTATCATTAAGAAGCTTAAACGGGAACATTTAGGTTGGCCAATTCCTCTTTCACCTCGTCGTACAGATCCTTGTAGTCCTCGTTTTGTCGCACCAGCAGAGCTACGGTGCCCCGCTTAACGCCCATCGCGGCGCCCAGATCAGCGCGACTGGGCGTGTAGGCGTAGGGAATGCCCTTCTCCTCGCAAACAGCGGGCAGGTGGCACATAATGTCCACAGGTGTCACATCGCCGGCAAAGATGCAGATGCTGTGAGTGGGGCACCATTGGATTATTGGAGATATTGAGAGTAATATGCATTTGGATAGTAAGTCTTACCCGGTTTCACCCTTGCGCAGACGCGTCTGCACATCCTTCAGACCATTTCGCAAATAGGTTTTGTGTTTCATGGCCTTCTTGACCAGTTTGTAGCATTTTTTGGCCAGCTTCTTGCCCGCCATTGGTTTGGCTATGGCGTTAACAAACAACAATTTGTCGTCATAGGTCTCCTCTTCTTTGATGGTGACATTATCGCTGACTTTAATTGAAACATCCGCCGCTTCTGTGTGCTCCAGTTTCACTTTAACCATTTTATTTTATTTATTTTAAAACACGAAAACAAGCCGTTCCTTTAGTTACTAAACACGTGCTAGCAAGTGTGACCGAGTTTTAATTGTGGGTAATAACCAAAATACACACGATTTAGGAAGACCATACTTGTAAAACCAGTGTTGAGCAACGAACAATTTGTTAAGAGTGGCGTGAGGTTTTAATTCACTGCTGAGATCACTTCCAAAGGCACTGCGATAAAGCTTATTAATATTCATATCCGATTCTTTGTTTTCCAAGAAATCGTTACGTGGACAATGCGCTAAATCTCCCACGCATGCTTATATCTGTTTGATGTTTTACAACACTGTTCGTTTTTGGGATTTTTTTCGTCAACCAATAAGGTCACTCCGGTTACTTTTCAAACTGCACTTGCACTAGTTTTTTTTGGGTAATAAGTAATCCAAATTTGAAATTGTGACAAAAATAATAACAAAACCATTTCCTCTTATATCATGAGCAGACCTTGCCATTGACTCTAGGTTATATACTATCCAATTACGGTGAAAACCTAAACATTGGGATAACATGAATGTAAAAATGTTTACAGAAAGGAGAAGAAAATAACGATTGTATTGGGTTTCGCATGACTTTGATGGGTTTGAATACCGTGCATATAATGCAAATGAATATTATTAAACATTAAATTTCATACACTGTTTAACCTTGAATAGATGTACGTATATGTACATGTTTATGTACATTGTTCACATGCATGTAAATGTAAAAAAAATGTTTATAATTGTTTGTTCGACACATTTAATTTAGTTTTGCATAGGTTCGATTTGCTCAATATTCCCGTTTGTGTGGCGGCACATACACCTGCTGCTGCTGAGCCTGGCGATCGCCGCGATGACGCGTCGCCTGTGGCTGCTGTGGCTGGGACATGTTGGTCAATGGCCTGTTTTGGGCGTCCGTAATCGGCAGAATATCGGATTTTAATACTTCTTCATGGTTTCCATAGCCGAGGAAATATACCACGCACGTTTTATCCCCGACTGCAGTTATCTCGGCTTCATAGTACTACGGGCATTGGGGCGACAATTAATAAAAGTCGTTGAATATGCGACTGTGCACTGTGTACTTACCCGTCCATCATCCCAATACTTGGCCATACACAAATCATTGCTCTTCCACACCCAAGCATCGCACGGAGCCAGTTCGAGATTTGTTGGGGGCGATGGTACTGGAACTGGGTGCGGATTAGACGACATAAAGGAAGTGGGGGCCGCTTGTGCTAGAGGCAAGTTATTTGCTGGCTGGGTCTGGGCCGGAGATTGGTTGGGCGTCGCAATGGTCAGTCCCTGGCTCTTCAGCAGGCTCATGGCAAACTCATTTGTCTCCTTGGTTTGGAATCCCATGATTTTGCTGGGATCATAAGTATATCCGTTGGGTAATTGTGTGCAACTGGCATTCGATGGCTGTCGAGCATTCTCTTGCTGCGATTTCTGCTGTCGCTGAGCTGGAAGACTCTTCTCAAGCGCTTTTGGTGCCTGACTAAAAGTTCCCTGGCTTTCATATTGTTGTCGAGTGGTCTGTCCGCCGCCTTGCCGCCCACCGCGTCTATGCTCGCGCTTCGAGGAGCTGAGCTTCAAGTTTGCGGTCTCTGCGACGACTTTGTTCAAGCGATTGTTGAATTCATCATTGTTGTTGTTATAAGAGTTGACGCCCTTGGCCGCGGGGGCAACAGCACCAGCTCCAGCACCAGCTCCAGCTCCAGTTGCAGCTCCAGTTGAGCCACCATTTCCTTGTTGACGACGTCGATTGTTGTGATTGCTGCTGGCAGTCCCATTTTCGGCTCGAGTATTTCCATTGCGATGATTCTGGCGTTCGTTCGTGCGCCTGTTGTTGCCCTGATCTTTTGCAGAACTCTCCTGCTTGCCCTCCGAGGAGCCAGCTTTGCTTGATGCCGCATTGTGATCATGACCATTGCGATTGGCGCTCTTGGCATGTGTCGGCTCGGATGGACGCGAGTTGCTCTCATGCTTACGCATGCTGCCGCCACCTCCAGCTCCACCCCGATCGTTGTAGCTGCTGCCCACGCCACGTGACGAGCGGTCGTCGCGACCAGCCCGACTACGTGCGCCGCCTCGTGAAGGTCGGCCAGAATGACCGCCACGATTCGCAGCAAAGCTGCTTGAGACATTGTTCTCAAATCGCGTGCGTTCGCCCAACGTTTGAGTCTTGCTCTCAGCTAATGTTACAGCCGAGGCTTTATAATCGTTTTCATATGGCCGGACAGTCGTCTTTTCGGCATTTGAAATTGGTTTTGCGGATTCGCCGGCTGCCTCGGTAGTCGGTGTCGTGTCTGTCGTGCGTAGTTTAGTGGTAAGAAAATCGAAGAGTGTGGCATTTGCTGCTGGTTTTGCGGCCTCGGCTTCTTCTTTGAGACTGGCGCCACGTTTACCCTCCCTACCGTTTCTCTCGGCCCGTCCGCCCCTTATTGGAGGATCGCTGTATCCCTCAGCCGCATCCTTGCGCCTCTTCAGATTGAAGAGGGCGCGTTCCAAATTGTTACGTGTCGCTTGCAATGCAGTCTTTGCTTCCTCCTTGCTAAAGCCCTTTTCGAGAATTTTCTTAATATTGTGGTCGATTATATTCTGGCCTCCACCGCCGAAAACTTTCTTCACTCCCGCCTTGCTGGCCACGGCAATAGCTTCGCTGCGCATGCTGTTGAACTCGTCGTTCTCCTTTGCCGGCTTGTCCTTATCCGCATTCGGTGCGAGACTCTTGAAATTGCGATCAGCATTTGCATCGATGCTCTTGCCAAATGCCACCCACGGCGGCGGAGCAGTCGATCCGGTGAGTGGCCGTCCGCTGCGTGCGTATTTCAGCATTGTGCGGGCGAAGTCCCACTTTTCGTAAAGCGCCTCCACTCGCCCGCCCAATATCTTGAAATCGTTGGGACGCAGCAGCAGATAGCCTTGTATAAGCTGCAATTTCTCGGCGTGAAAGTAAATCTTTGTGCCGGGCGCCACGTTCAGGTTCAACGCTGGCACAGGCTCCAGCTCTAGGGCCTGTAACGTTGCCTGGCCATCGCTCAGCTCCAGCTGCAAGAGTCGCGGCGCTGCCTTCGACTCCTCATTGCTCTTTGGGGCAGAAATGTTTCGCACTCTCTGTACCTGCAGCACAATGCGACCTGCGAGCTCCCCGGAGCCGTCCTCGCGTTTGGTTGGCAATGCGCCGCCTCCGATGTCGCGCAAATCGCGCTGCAATTGGGCCAAAACGGCGATTAATCCTCTTTGTTTAGCTGCAAGCCGGTCGGTCACAGTTGGCAAAGCTGATACTCACGTTTAAAGCTTCATCAATTATTTTGCATGGGTCGGGGTTGTCGCCGACGGCGTTTGTCAATGTCTTTAAACCATCCTCGGTAAAGTGCCTGGTAATTTTGTTGATATCAAGTGTAATTGCCCTCTTGGTTGAGTTACTTACCATCCACTCGCCTTCAATTTATTTGACAATTCCATTTTTTCGTGAATATACAATACATAAATGCATATATATTAGCGAGCACAGCACAAAACTAACAAACTTCGCCGCACCGCAGCCTGTCTTCGCCGCGCCCCAATTTCGCCGTAATAATCGATATGCTTACTTGTACTTGTTTTGTAGTATCGCTTACCAGCAATATCGAGTAGCTTCCATGCAGCAACCTATTTTGTGTAGTCTTAACTGATACAAAGTCTTCAAACATATCCTTATTTCTTTATATTGTTCTGTTTAAGTTAATAAGTCGGGTAACATACCGAATTAAATTCAAAATATGATGTAGCTTGCCACTGCGTACTTGCCCATGGCACGATATATTGGGCTCAAAAATACCAATAGCGATACTTTTCTATACAACCATACCATTAAATATATTAATATATTTTTTTTATTTTACAAATTTCACATAATCGGCACATTGATCTAGACTTTATATATTTTTTACTATTTGTTCTATATGGTCATTACATTTCTAGTACGCGCCTGGAGAATAAACACTATCGATAGGTCGGCGGCAATAATGTCCTAAAAAACGCCGACTAAATTTTTGTATATATCGATACCAACCAATTCTTCGATAGCGCCAACCCATTTCATTTATTCATTGTTGCTTAAGCAGCTGTACGTAACGGTTCAATCTAATTGTGAGCGGAAGTGAATAAACAAAACATTAATAAGCTTAAAGCTTGAACGAAATAATAAACACAAAATACAACCAAAGAATTAAATATACAACAGACACCTGTATTTAAACATATTTCTCAGGCAAACGTTAAGTTTAAAAGCGCGAAAGTTAAGACATTCCATATCGAAAACAAATTTAAAGTGCTGATCACCCAAAACACAAAATGAATTTATCCTTTGCTGGCTGCGGATTTCTTGGAATATATCACGTCGGCGTTGCTGTCTCCTTCAAGAAATATGCCCCGCATTTACTTCTAGAAAAAATCGGAGGTGCCTCCGCTGGGTCCCTGGCAGCATGCTGCCTGCTATGCGATTTGCCACTAGGTATGTCTCTTATACATATGCATACATATGTACATGCATATACATAGTACATTTAAATATTCATATATATATATATGTATATTCTCACTTTTATATAATATTTATTGGGCGAATTGAGCACAAAACTGAATGGCTCGGCTGTTTAGATTAGGGCGTACATCGACCCATGCTCGTTTGCCTTATTAAATGCGATATTTAATGTTGATCAATTTATAATACATACTCCCATCATACCACACATTCGACAACATTCCCGTCCACATACCAAGCTGTGTGTGTATGTACGTAAATATTTACAACTTACACACACACACGTCCAACTGTGGCCAGCTGTGGTGTACACTCCCATTTTTTTGGGGGGCTCGTCGCTGTCGAAACGTAACATAAAAATACGCCGCAACTTGAATTCACACATACGTACGTACGTACGTATGCTTGTGTGTAATATATGTAAAGTGTGACAGGCCCTAAAAATAAACTATAGAGAATGTTGTTTACATTTGTAAAAATACACGCGCACACACACACAAACATACATACAAACAACTTATTTGTTAAATTTTCTGAAGGTCGACCTTGCTTATCTGTGAGGGCGTGTTTTGATTCGTAGTTTATTTAGGGACGCACTCACACACATGTAAAATCGTACAAATATTCGTTATTTGTGCACTCATTAATTATTCACAAATCTAAAAGGCAGTTTTGTTTTTAATGCATATGTACGTAGCTGGATGACATCAATTGAAACCCTTTCTCTCAATTTCGTGCTGTTTGGTGGCGCAAAAGATACAATTATATCTGTTGTGTACATACATACATACATACGTATATATGTATGTGCATCTGTACATTTACCTGTTGCCGCTGGTGCGGCATCTTTCTGCTTTCTGCCACATAGTAGTAGAAAGTTCGGTGGGCAGTCAGGTAGAATGATTCATGGCGCACCTGTTCCAGATTAACTGCTGCAGTTCGCTTTTAACGGCAGTCCAGTTAGAAAAGATGCGGCTCGTGCATATGTATGTATGTCTGCATGTGTGTGTGTGTTCATTTAATTATCAATTGCAGGCGTGTAATTTGCTTTGTTTTCCTTAGATTAATGACTCTCGAACTTTGAAACCAGTTAATGACGGGCACACGAAATTTCTACATGACTGCTATCATTCATCAGATATCATCAGGCATACATGTGTGTGCATGTGTATGTGTGCGTGTGTGTAGATGTATGCATGTATTTTGTAAGTCAAAAAGTTATTAGGTCTTTACCGTTTGCTATAGGCATGTATGTATGTATGTATGTATGTAGGTATGCATGCATGTGTATGTGTGCTCACAATAGACCCCCCTCCAATTGACGTCAATTCTGTGTGGCCTGAGTTTAGCCACTCGGCGAAACAAAGTGAATGAGTTTCCTATTTGATTAGACATAATCAAATATGGAATATAGCGACATACATAAATATAAGCAGTACATATAAACAGATTTATAACAAGTGTTTTTATTTACAATAAATTAGCAGCTGTGTTTTGCGCTGTGACGCGACTTATCAGCCCGTTTTTCATTGTGACTGATGAGGTCTTTTTACACTTCTGCGTATGTATGTATACATATGCATGTATGTACGCACATAGTATGCATGTATGTATGCATGTACTTAGGTTCGGTTCAATAAAAATCTGCATGTGTGTAATTACATTTGTATGCACTTAAGTACGCTTCAAAAAAATAGAATCTAATTTAATTGGAAAAATATCATCTATGTGTGCCAACCAGTGTTGCCAACTGAGCTATTTTTTTAGCTTAAATTCTATTCTCAGAGGTTAGCCGAAAACAGTTGAAATTTGGCTATTTTTTGGCAGCTCAACGAACAAGCCATGGCAACCCTCTATTGGCAATTTGTGCTTAGCAACCGAATTCAGCTATTTCTAGCTATTTACAACAACGCTGACGTAAGCAGCTGTCTGAGCGACCAATTAAATGTCTTCAGAGTACAGTATGAATTCCAAACAAAACACCACATCCCCTTCATTAAGTCAAAACTACCCCCACTGTGAGCCCGTGTGTGCATTTCCCAGTTATCCTCTTTCGAAGCCTACCCGTTGCACTATTGCGGTTATTCTTGAACATTATATATTTGTATATATATATATATATATATGAGTTTATGCAGGTTCGATCCAAGGGAAGCAGATCTAATGCGTATTTGTTACAGGCAAAATCTGACATCAGTCTTTAACTCATTTTGTTACCATCTTTTGCGATCAATTTATATTAAAATTTCGGGTAATGCTCCCCTTACTTATCTAATCATTATTATATCGCCTGATCGGAAGACGGGAAATGATTCATATCTTTACGGTTTTTGCGACAAAAATAAATATATATATATATATATAAAATTGTGAAAGAACATGCAGAATAACCTTGAAATAAAGTATACCCTTACACACTGATAAGCTGTGCCATGAAAGAGTCGTAAAATAGCCAAAAATTTTCCATATTTCAATATTTTGGATTTTTGTTATACTTTCCTGTACTGTGTGGAAGCTCGCTTTGGGTCGATCTCTTGTATTATGTTTTGTATTTATGAACGGAATGCGATTGCCTTTGAATTAGGGTCGGAACATTAAAGGCATTCACAAGTCACAAACATATAAATATCTACGTATATTTAAACAAACAACAAAAGGGGATTCTTATCAGCTGGGTTTTCAGAAAGAAAAAAAAAACAGCTGCTGCCACACGCAAAACTATAACATGATGTGCAAAAACAAAACAATCGTTGCCTACGTATATATATATATATATATAGAGAAGTGTGCTTTATAGTGGCTTATCGGTTAAATGCTCGATGGAGGCCAAACTAACACTTATACAACCCAATCAGCTCGAGGTGCACACGTCATTTCCTATCGCCTAACTAGGTAGCCAGCAATCTTGAATTGACATCGTTGACATCAGAAATGATGCTAGAGTGCGTGGACTATATACATACATACATATGCTAAAATACGACTTGATTAATTTAAGATGAACACTAATTGAATGGCACATTTTGGTCTCATCTCATTATAGGTAGCATGACCTCCGATTTCTTTCGCGTGGTGAACGAGGCGCGCCGGCACTCGCTTGGGCCCTTCAGTCCGTCGTTCAACATACAGACCTGCCTGCTGGAGGGACTCCAGAAACATCTGCCAGATGACGCACATAAGCGTGTCAGCGGACGTTTGCACATCTCACTGACACGGGTGTACGACGGCAAGAACGTGATAATTTCGGAGTTTGCGTCCCGCGAAGAGGTGTTGCAAGCACTACTTTGTGCCTGCTTTATTCCGGGCTTTTCTGGAATTTTGCCACCGCGTTTTCGGGGCGTGCGGTATATGGACGGTGCGTTCTCGGATAACTTGCCAATCCTGGACGAAAACACCATTACTGTCAGCCCTTTTTGTGGCGAGAGTGACATTTGTCCGCGCGACCAAAGCTCGCAACTATTCCACCTTAATTGGGCCAACACAAGCATCGAGATATCACGGCAGAATGTCAACCGCTTTGTACGCATTCTGTTCCCGCCGAGAGCTGAGTTCCTCTCAAAGTTCTGCCAGCAGGGATTTGATGATGCACTGCAATTTCTGCATCGCAATAACCTAATCAACTGCAGACGCTGCATAGCTGTTCAGTCCACATTTGTAGTTTCTGAAACAGTTGCGACATCGCAGGAGACGGAATCAGAGTGCCGCGAGTGCAAAAAGCATAGAAAGGTACGACTTTTATATATATAATAGCCCATCTGTCTATAATAATAACTTATTCTCAAAAAATGTTTCAGGATGCGTTAAGCTCAAACATGCCGGAAACCGTGTTGGACGTTATACAAGACTATTTGGAGCAGGCTAACAAGGGCTTGGCCAATTGGATATTTAAGCATCGCGGCATTAAATTGCTTTCGCTGCCGGCTACAGTCCCGATGGATTTCTTTCTGGCCACAGTATCAAAGTAGGTTAATTCAAATGTCTGTTATGGCCAGATTGACTAATATTCCTTAATTTATATCATTTAGAATTACCACCTTAACGCCAAAGCTGACGAAGCAAATGCGTCAAATAGCTGAAGAGTTTATTGTTCAGCTTAATAATGCCATGACAGTTCGTTTTCTCAACAAGTTCTCGGTAAGTATTTAATCTTTGCCCCTGTTGATTATACAACTAATTTCTAACCCAAACGCACAGCTCTACGATCAGCCACACTTTGATGCTACTGGCCTTCTTCACTCCAACCATTTGTATAACCCACATGTTTCAATTCTTGTCGATAAATGGTAATTAAGTTTGCAAAACCCTAAATTAACCTATTGTCCTTAACTTTCGACTCTTACGCAGTGATACAACACCTTTAGATAGCGATGTCGGGCATGTCATTGAGATGACTGCACACAACGACGCGCTATATGCGTACTATTACACAGATAATAATACCAACAATATTAAAGTGACCGAAATATTCGATTTTGATGACATGACGAAGCATGAACTCTCTACCGATTTACAAGTCTATAATGGGTCAGTCGATGATCATGAGGCTGCGCATCAGAAGAGCTTTAATCCAGAAGTCAGCGAATGGAATGGTATTGAATCGGGTTAGTATTTAAATCTTGCATCGCCAAGGATTTAATAATAAATCAAACTAACATATCTTGCAGTTCAAATTATGCCAACGAAACCTGAATTACACGACGTCGCCTTTTAAAGCCCATCTCGAACGCACATTGTAACAACTTCCAAACCACTAAATTATTAACATTTGAGTATTTAAGGTAAATTGGCTTTCATTATGTTTATTGCAACTTGCTGGCAATTTGGATGAGCACGAATTCATTTTAAACAATACATAAAGAACTATTATTGAGTGGCCTCTTTAATCAAATCCTTCCTTTCTTTTCAGACTATTTTATAGATGAACATACGCCGAATACTAGCCCCTTGGCGACGCGTATCGCGTAACCGTAGTCAGTTTTCCTGAGGCTGAACAAGGTTTAACCGAATTGTACATAAACATATATATGTTGAATACCCAAAATTGTATATGCTTCAGTTATAGTCTTTTTATAATTTGTAACGCAACGAACCCAAAGTGGCTTGTAGCCAAGCATTTGTTTGCTTAAAAACATATATTATATTATAAAAACCTGAGTACCTAATTAACTTATATTAAATATTCAAAATGTACAGTATGACCTACTTTTAAGTTACAACAAAAAATGTATAATGGTATAAGTTAATGAATTATGTTAAGGTGGTATGTAATAGAAGAAAACAAATAAAAATACAAAAGTTAAGAAAACTCAATGATTGAAAAGTTGTTAAATTTATCGTTGCCATAGGCAGATAGTTTATCTACCCGTTCGCTAAGCTATTTGTACTATATACCCGTCCAGTAGAAAAAGCTTCCGTGCATATAATTCTATTACAATACCCTTTCAAAATGGATTACAAAGGCTCAAATGTATAATCTAAAAGGTCTGTCCACCCCATAGATATATATATATTATTCCAATCGGAACGATGAGTTCAGTTGATTTGGTCACGTCCGTCTGTCGCGTAGTTTTCGAAACCAATTGCAATGAAGATTGCAAGTAGGATTTAAGACGTGCAATCTTCATTGTACATTATAAAAAGGAAACAATTTTCATAACTGTTTTATTTTATGACTATTTGGTACGTACAATTTGGTTCACTGCTAATTTGGCTGTCTACACTAGACTAAAATGAAGGAGATGGAAAATACTTTATAATGAGCTTCGAGCTGACATTTTGCTTTCCCGACGACTTGCACTCAGTTTTAGATAAAGTCGCTCATTATGAGCCATACACGTTTCAACAAAATCAATGATTTCTGGACAATGTAGCTTCTCAGCAATTTTGAGAGCTTTTCGCAAAACTTCTTTTGTGCGCTCAGTTTTGTTAAGAGCTGCACTCGACTTGACAATGATAATTGTGCTTAGAAAACTCCATAAATAGCTGTTGCAATTCTTAGTTTCTAAGAAAGGTTTTTTTTTTTTTAGTTTTGTAGTAGATTATTAAAATAGTTAATAAGGACTTGTCAAACCTTGAATTGCCTTGCGAGCAACAAAACAGCACTCATCATAGCGATTGGATTGAAGATGAATGCTCGCAATTTGATGAAGTAAATAGCACTTTTCGATTGAGTGTTTTGCGAATATCATGCGCTTCTCCAAACGCGCAATCATTTGTCTGTAAGAAAAATGAAATTCTATTAATTGTTTAATATACAACCGAGTATTACCTCGATTTTGTGATGGCGGGATCTACTATATCCTGATCCTGATGAGTGGATCGGTCTCCAAATACAAACTTGGAGATTTCCATTGTTTTATTCATATTAAGGTGCAATAAGTGGTGAAGAGGATTTCCAGATGGTTGTTTATAGTTTTTAGGCACATAGTACTGCTCGGCTAGAGCCAAACCCAAAGTGTTGTATACTTCATTAATGAACTCAATCTTCCATGGCATTATGCGATTCGTTTTCAGCACAACATAATCTCCCATTATCTCTTCGATATAACTGGCAAGTCGCTGAAAATATAAAAAATAATACATGTAAAAGTTGCTCTTAAAAAACTGTATGAATATTAATGGACACACAGATAACATACAACAAAATTGTCTGAAATATAATATATATATTATACAGGCAACAACAACAACTTTGTGATTATTAGAAACAATATAATTCGTGAACAAAACTTACCGTCAAATTCTTTTCTGTACGAAGACGCCGAATTGTTTGTAAAGCAGTTATCATATTTCGACGTGTCTGGTACTGTATTCTAAAGAGCAGGGCTTCTTGGAATTTGCGTAACCGGTCCATGTTTGCATATTTTTTGTACCGCACATAGTATATCGGAGAGCGAGCATGTATCATTTTCTAGAGACATACAAACTGATTTCATTTTAGGTTCAATAATAATTGCTTATAAAGGCATACCAAAAACTTCTTAATGACTTCATATTGATTTACAGTTAAGGATCTTAAGACGCCTTTGGAATTTTTGCACTGTTCCAAGAGTAAATTTGGATTACTGAAATCATAATACATGCATGTGTATTTAATTAATTTTAATTAACATGTTTAGAAAACTTACTCTCTTAAGTTCTTCAAAAATAGAATGTCTATCCATGTTCTATCTATGTAAACTTGATTACATATATCAAATGCACGCTTTCGTCTCGCTATTTCTAGTGGGGACAGTATTTGTTCCTAAACGCATAAATCAATTAAAACCAGTTTGGCACTTTGATATAGGAAGAAACAAACTTTTATTTCTGGAATGCTTAAGATATCGCATTTGCCTTGTTCCTTTAATTTTTTCCAGAGCGGGCGATTATCAATTCTCGCTTTCTCATTAAGAAGTTCCTTCACAAGCGACATGATCTTTTCATTCTCCAAAATAAATGGGCTCAATCCATCGCCGCAAGCGTCTTTTATATTCTCATCAACCTAAGAAATATATAGCTTTAAATATAGCTTAAAAATGGTAAAAACATTTTATATATTACATACCACATGCAATCGATTTTCGAAGGCCTTCGTCTTGTTGCCCGTAAAGATACGTGTATTATTAAACAATTCTGCCTTGGCATTTTCAAACTGGTTTAGCTCGTACAAAGCATCGCAAACTTCCAGATTAACTGGTGCATTTTGCACAGACAAATTTTTTAAGAGTCCTTTATAAAAATAAAAGCGTTCACAGATTAGCTCGAGGCAAAATGAAGTCTTAAAATCAATTTAATTGGACACTATCAGAATATTTTTCAATTCATTTCGATCGGACATTTCCCACCCGAGATAAATTTAGATTTGAATAACATTTAAGTCGAGCGGATATAACGCGAGCCTTTAATAAATGTATCTTAAAGAATCTGGGGATTATCAAACAGTCTAAGTAAAACTTCTGCTAGATATCTGAGATAAAATTGGCCCCCCACGAAAAACTTAACAGATGATGGATATAGAGAGTCGACGATTTTTTGTTATGTATAAATTTACACTTACTTTGGGCTTCTCGGCTATCTTTTAGCGCGCTCTCTATTCGTGCAGTCTTACGCCTACTCTGACTGCGATGGTAGAGAGTCGCATGATCATCGGGAGAGAGCTTAAGTGCCTTGTCATAATAGTTCATTGAAATACTTTCCCTCCGTCGTCGAGAATAGTATTTTCCCCAGTCCTTATATATTCCCTGCTCCACTTCCGGACTCCAATCTATTTTCTCCCATACTGGAATAGCTTCTTGAATACCAGATTGTGGTACTCCTGTTAGTGTAATAGACGGCATAGCTTTTTTTTTGTATTTTTATTTTTTTTATTTTTTTTTTATTGTTTTAAATTGTTATTTCTTTTTTTTTTTTTTTCTTTTTTTGTTTTTCCTGTTTTGTTGCTCAACAAGAAAAGCAAACATAATGAAGATGAGATGTAAAACTGTCAAATAAATTAAATTCTGATGATTTTAATTCCAATGGTGAACTGATTAGGCATGTTTGTAGCCCCCAACCTATTGAAAATGAGAAATAGGCAGATGGGAAAATCACACAGTATTTCCGCATCGACTCTTACTTGGATCTTCTACATTGTTCTGTGGGAAATGACATACGTTTTGATTCACTAGTTTAATGGAACCATACAAATAGATGGAGGGCCCGTGAAACCATCTTAAAAATATAAGAGTACCCAGTGTAAGAGTATAAAAATCAGCAATGCTTGACGATTCATTTTATTATACATATTGCCCATAGTATATGCCTTCCGATATCAAATTACAGTTGAAACTCGACTTTAACACGTTTGTTAACGTGGTTTTCAGCAAGAACTCAATTGATGAAAAGAATTCGCTAGTAATTTATTAAAATACCATATTGAAAAATGAATACAGCAATTTTGATCAATAACAAAATAATTGACTACATGTTAAAAAGTTTAGAAAACTTGTGAAAATGGCTTTAAAAATAATAAAACCTTCTCGACCGATGCGCCTCATGACAATTAAGTAAATGTCTAAGTCTGTATAAACTTGGATCTTTCAAATTTTGAGATTTGAGAACTCTTTCTGTGCCGTACACATATCGTGATGAACACCTTGGGGCATTCTTAACACACTGTCTTACACTAAGAGTTAATTAATGCATACGGTACAGCATCTGAGTTTCAATATCAAATTACTATCTTTAGCAGACCTTGCACTCAATTTCGCATACTATTGCTCTCTTACTAAAGCCTGATCAAGATTTACACGTCTACGTATGTATATTATACACTTTAATAAAATTGATATGAATGCGACAAATAACAGCAAAAGTTATCGCTTGATTAACCACAAATAGTCTCGCCAATATATAAAAGATGTAGCATATTTATTATCAGTCGTTAGTCTCTCGAACGGCAATATTCGAGAACTAAACATCGAGGCATAAACTTTAAGCCTTAATGGTTGTAAGCGTGTGCCCTCATTATAGTTGGGATTTTTTAGATCAGCAGTTATTGATATATATATGTATCGTAAATCTTCTACTGGCCTACTAAGTCTCAATATAATGGGAGTAAAAACCTCAGTATAACTTATGTGTGACTAATTTTTATCAATAAATTAAAGGATAACCCAATGAATCTATGTAACTAAGCCAAAGGCAACCACGAGGAAGAAGCGGTATGTGCCGTGTTTAAAGCGCGTTGAATATCTAGTTGCATGCGGAATGCGACAAGAGTCTTATAATTTAAATAAGTTAACAGAGACGCTGAACATATTCAATTAGATTCACGCAAGAAATACATTGTATATAAATATCAAGTGCGATCTAGATCATAAAAACAATCCAAACTAGAAATTGCTTTGGTGATCTTTCAATACGTGGTATATACATAGAATTAAATTTATTTTATGAACTGTCACGTCCAACAGCGACGCAATAATGCCAAAATGTTGATGCTTAAAAACATTTTAATCATTTAGTTAACACGTTACAAAAACACAAGTGCATAGAAAAATTAAGAATCTAAAACAAGCAAATATTTTATGCTGAAAACGGATTTATACATTGAAAACACTTTTACCGACATAATTTAATATAAATTGAAACATCTAGTTCAGCGGAAACTTGACATCAGGTTTGATAGATGCAGAGTTGTGAACTACCGAAACGCATAAGCGATTGTTGTAGCTCAAATCACGAAGCAGCTGAGAAACATAGGATAAATGTGACAGCTTGAAGACGTAAACACTTAATAAATATCACTTACCTTGGGCGTAACAAAAAGATATTGTGCAGAACCCTCCTTAGTGGCCT